GTAGTCCTATGAAAGGTATGTTAATGCTTATTTTGTGAAATGTGATATATGCACGCTGCTGTTTTCTGCACACACACAATATTAAGCTAGTATAATAGCTGTGACCAAAAAAACCTAGATAGATATTTAACATCTATGAACATTTTCCCCATGTGTACTTTGTTGAGGAGTTTGGCCCTAACTGTTTCAAAACTGATTAAGATTCCAGTAAGGGACAATTTTCAATTTTTAAATAAATGTCTATTTGTATTTGGCTTCACTGAATCATAGATATTTGCAGCTTTCTTTTTATCTTGTTCTTATAAAAAAGTAAACATTTATATTTGTTAAAAAACACTTAATCTTGACCTTTTTACTTTTGAAGGGCATTGCTAAGCAACACTTGTTATGGAAAAGCAGCAGCGATCAGCCTAGTTCTCAATCTAAAACAAGTGAAGCAAAGTCCAGGAGTTCAAATGAAGGACACAATTCTTGCCTCAGCTCTGCTTAGCTGATCTCGATTATGAGATTCTGACAGGAGAGAAGAATTTTAACCTGGGGGCAGTTTCTTTCCTAGAGGATAGAGGGCTAATGGAGAAAGATGGTATTTGATGACTCTGGACCATTGGCCAGAAAACATTTGGGATGCTGGAATTCTTATAGTTATTCATTCAAGTGTTCTTGTCAGCTATTACAGCCTGCACCAGAGGACTTTGAAGTGGCAAATCAGGAGGGTAACATAGATGTGATTAGGAGAAGGAATATCTAATAAGACATGATTGCTTAACTTTTGAAGGATACAATTATAGTCATCTGAGACATAAGGTGCTTTTACCAGTTTTAATCTGACAGGTGACTGACAGATAAAATGCTGATGACACAAAATTTCATATACATAACAGATAGGTTGTAAAAGTGCTCAGAAAGTAATAGAGGGTAAAGAATGAGCTCGGGAAATTTCCTAATTAAAGATTTAAGAATATAAAAAAAAAAATGTGTGCGCCCATTGAATAGTAAGGATAAAGCATACAGAAGCTTTCCTTACATGAGAGCAAATTGTAAGGTAAAGGCCTTTTTGCAGGTGACTTCATAAGTACCACCATAAAGGAGGGGTGGGTGTATTTTAGCATTATTGGCATAGGAACATATTAATCAGAGAGCAGTTCGTAATCTGCAGATAGGCATTGTTGCCATACTTAGATAATGTTTAAAAGTCTGTAGAAATACAATACAATTACTTTCCTTAATCCAGGTCTACATTGCAGGGGAGGTGCAGATTTGTATGATTCCTTTAAACATGAACAAATGCAGAATGTTAGGCTTTGTTACTCATTACACTTTAAGCTTCTCAAATGTTGATCGGTGTTATTGTTGGCTCACTTTTGGAGCCGTTGCATGTTTGGGCTAAAAACGTTCTCTGAATGTCTCTGACCTGCAGAGCTGTGACTTGCCACTAGAAGCCTGGTGAGCAGGGCCCTGACTAGGAGCTACAGCTCTCAGTTTCCACTAGAAGGCTGGCGAGCAGGCTCCTATCCAAGCTCTAAGTGGGGGTGGTTGAAGAGATGGGTTGGTGGGGACAGGAACATGAGGCTGGAAGGGGGAGTTTAATGGGCTAGTTGGTGAAATGAAAGAAGTAAGCCACTGAAGCCACAAAGGGATAAAGTAAAAAGAAGTTAAAAAAAAAAAAAAAAGTAAAAAAGAAGAACTAAATTAAAGCCTCATGTTTTAATAAACTGGGATTGAGTAACCTTAGCTCATGGGGACACTGTCCCTGCCCTGGGAGGGAAACCCCAGCTCACAGGGACCCCAGTGTGGCCCCCTAGCCTTCCCTCCCAGACTGGTTTTTACGCCTGTGAGCTGCCTGGGCAGGTCACACCAGAGGCAGGGAGGGGGATGGAGAGTTGGTTTGGTTCTAGTGCCACCCCCTGGACAGTAGAGTTCAGGGGGTGGAAAGTTGTCCACACAGAACAGGATGGTGGGAAGAGGGGGCAGTGCTTCCTGGGATGCTGGAAGACTGAAACTCAGGCAGCTTGTTTGTGGAGAGTGGCCACACATTCATGGAACACAAGCTGAGTAACATGGATCAGAGAGAAACCTGCCCTGGAGTGGCATAACTTGAAAACACATACCAGGTGCTTAAAAGTAGTATACACGTCTTAACATGTGGAAAATCCAGGGGTTAAGAGCTCCCTGAGCTGCCTAGAATGTGTGTTACAAGGTCCGTTGAATTCTCTAACGGAGTGAGTGCAGAAGAACAAGAAGTTGCTCTGAACTGGGTAGTATAATTAACTAAATCTGACTTTGATTTATTCTGACAAAGACACTGCCTTTTTTTTTTTTTTTTTTTACCATTTGTGTGTTTTATCAAATCATCCTTGCTGATTAAAATGAAAGGCTCAGCAGTGCTGGGATGGTGTAGCATCTCCTAAATGAAAATTAATGAATATCTATGTAAAAATGAAGACAAACTGTTGCAAAACATATTTATCATTGACAGTTCAGCTTTAGCAAAAATTTCCTGGCAACCTAGAGAGTGCAAGTGATGATGGGTATTAGAAACTGATTAATTAAGATTTGGACCTTATTATGTTTTACTTTTGAGCTACTAAGTTAATATGGTAGGATATGTGTTGTATGTTATAAGGCTGCAAAATCAGAGAAAATTTGTAAAACAAATATATTGCTTGTGTGTGCAGGGAAAAGTTTACTTCCCTGACATAGTAAAAGTTTACTATGTCATGTAACTAACTCCATCCATTCCCCACCAAACATACGTATGGGTCATATGGCAGTAATGAAGGTATGAGAAAACTGAAGCAAAAGGACTCTAGAAATGATGTGTTCTGTTTGGTTTTTTATCTTTTTTGAGGCTGAAACCTTTTTTGAGGTTTGCTCCCCTTGCCAAATATTTACAATGACCATACACATAACACATCCCATATTATCTCAAATCAGTGTACAAAGCAAGCTAGAGGAGACTGCCAGAGAGAGCCCATAAGTCAGTGGTGGACTTGGGAAAAGAACATAGACCTCCCATCATATCCTCTTTTGGGCCACAGTAATGTCATGCTCTGTGACATCCATTGGTAGGATCATAGATTGTTACAGAGAGTGGGAGGGCACTGATAGCAGCATCTTGGCAATTGTGATTAGCATTTCTTTCAGGGGAGAAATGGAAGTCTTCAGGTTCTGGTCTGATACCAACTCAAATAAACCTTAAAAATAAAATTTTATTTTAATCTTTTATAAAACGAAGGTTTTACTGGAATATATTGTTGCCTTTACAGAAAAAGCAGCTCTGAAGTACTGAAAGGGGCCCATTTTCACAAATATCGATTGTAGAGTACAGAGAAGAAAGGTCCTAACTTTTAGATATTTGACGTCTGAGCTGTTTTATGTGTGAAGTTATTTTGTGATCTGTTGGATTTTTTTTTTTTTGGAGATAGTGGAGGAAGTTTTTGAATTCTGTCAGTGTCATGCTGTCACATAAAATGCGTTAGTAACTGGATCTCGAATTCATAAAGACTAATGCCAAGGGGCTAGATTTTCTTGGTTGCACGATGTGTGTATGATAGTTGTCAATGAATGGAAGATTGAGCAGTGAGCAGAATGTATCAGTATCGCAGATAAGAACATTCTTTTTCCCCCACTCTACTCCTGTTAAAGTTTACTCCTATGCTAATATGAATTAACTTTTTTAAGTAGTATATTAAATTGCATTAAACATCTGAGGGCACCCTTCTATTCTGAAGTAAAAGGGCTTTAATGCAGTTAAGTTTAATAACTAAAATAAAGTTTACTTAATTTAGCTTAGCTTTAGCACTAAAGTAAACTAGATCTTTTACCTGCTCACCTAAAGTAAATCAAGTTCAACTGAATGCATTCTGAATAAGACAGTCTATGAAGGGTTTTAATGTTGTTGTTTGTGTAATCCCCTTTCAGTTCACACCGCTTATGAATTTTGATTAACTTAATTAGTGTCCCTATGTAGATAAGATATACAGCATTTTTTTGAAGTTAAAAACTGCTGTGATGCACTCTTTTTATGGTTTCTTTGGCTGCTTGCAGACATTTAAAAAAACCAAACTGCACTTTACTGGAGGAAACAGCTCATTAGTTCAACCTGGCTCCACAGTGTCTGTATAGATAAGGTGCTTCAGTGGGGCTTTTGGGCATTTTTATTTAATAGCTGATTCAATCAGCTATTAGATAAAAGTGGCAAAAAAGCCCCACTAAAGCACCCAGTCCTAAAGTGCTGTCTCTTCTGAACGTGTGCTGGAGTGCGTGGAGTTTAAAGTAAAGCATCTAGTTTGTTTAGGTTTTTTTAAACTTCTGAAAGCATTGTTGTGTAGTTTCTTACCTGCTTTTGCTTCCGATGGCATCAACAACATATATTTTTCTTATGGTACATTTTATGTGCCTGATATAAACCTAACCTTTTCATAATCAGCTCTATTTAAATTATTATAGGACACTTTTCATTTTGCTTCATAAATCTGGTTTTACCAAAGTGTTCAGGTTTATATATACATTATTTTGATTGTAATATAGTTCTTTCAATATTGCTAGAACATGATATTATTACTGCAATACCATGTCATTGCTGAGGCTTGAGTCCGATAAAGGGAGCCATCCACTTTGGAGGCAGATTCCTTTGGTGGATCTACCTACTCTTTTAAAGTCAGTAGCAACTTTTCTTTCATTACATTTGTGGGAAGACTGGAGCCTCTAATCATCTGGATCTTTGTTTTGGATCAGTTTTATATATTAACACTGACACGTGATTCAACAGTGTACAAAATCAACCAACAAATGAATACAAGCATATACCTAAGCACATTATTGTAATTAGCGGGTGTTGAATCTTCCTAATTTGCATTTCGGAGAATGAAAGCTATGCTGGCATTTAACTTCTGTTGCTATTTATGCATGATTTCAGCTATGACTTTATAAATGCTTCCCAGAATCCTGTTGGATCAAAACCTTGACCATGTTCCATTTTTGTCTTTGTTGTTTGGTAGGACGATGAAGTGGTTTTGCAGTGCACTGCAACTGTTCACAAGGAACAACAGAAACTGTGTCTTGCTGCAGAAGGATTTGGCAACAGACTCTGTTTTCTGGAATCCACTTCAAATTCTAAGGTATAGCAACCTGTCTGATACAGTGGTGTTTTAAATTTCATTAATGAGTTTTGGGTTTTTTTGTTGGTACAAAATTGCTCGTTGTACATCTAGTCAACAAATTATCTAAGGGCATAGACAAATCAAATATCCCCAAACATCACATTTTAATCTCTTGCAACATTTAATCATTTTTTTGTCATGTGCAGGCTGGATTACTGAAGTGCACTTTCTTTTGAGCTCCCCTGGTTGCCATCTGGCAGAGGGAGCTCATTTCAGGCATCTGTGCTTTTCTGTTATTTGCCAGTTCACAAATTTGGTGTTGTGTAGTGCAAAGATGCATTTGTTTACTCTGGCTTTAAGGCCACACCAGAGGATATTTATCCTATCAATGATAAGAGCAAGATTTGATTTTGGGGTTTTTGCCTTGGTATAATTGTTGCTTTAAGTTGAGTTAATGTTCCAAAATAGTACAATTCTAGGCTAAATATTACATTATTAATTATGATTTATTTATTATTAAACTATTACATTCATGTATTTATTTTGCGTATGCAAGATGCTATTACTATATTGTTTACATACCGCACAGGTCTTTCTCCCAAAAATCAGGTCTCTAAAATAGAAGGGTGGTGGGCATTATTTTAAGCAGGGAAACTGATTTTACTTTGTTGAAGTAGAAACCTGGAGGAATAGAAATGTTGCAACATCACTACAAGGTGGCTTCTAGGCTTCTCCCTCTGTCAACCTTCAGAAGGGAAAGGGCAGGGTTCGCTATAGTGCTATCTCTCAGACACAGCCACTACAGGCTGGGTCAGGGTCTCCTGAAGTCAGCATTAAGCCACGACTGGAAAACCTTTCTTTCTTCATTTTGCCTTTCCAACACAGCACATCTTGTTTTGGGGCATGTGATATGCGAGAAGATATGGTGTAATATAGAATGTCCTTAATTAAAAGATTATTTACTATGATGGTTAGCACTAAAAAACGGCTTCCATTTTACACTTTCATACATGTTGGTAGTTCTCCCTAAAATAGAGACGCATCTGAGGGCAGATCTGGGCTTGCTGTTTATAGCATATGAGCATTTGATTAAGTAAGTTGCATCTGTTTTCCTTTTTATAAATGCGTTTGTTCGGATACAATATAAACACATAGCATAGTTATGACTAAATACATACATGTTTATAAAAAATAAATGCTAAATACATAGAAGACATCAGAAAGGTAAGATTTCTACAAAGAAATTAGGTAGGACTTTTTTAGCTTGCCAACTTCTATAATGTCACTATTAATTAAATATATTGACTTCCATACATTTCAAAGTAATACTTTGTTTTCAGTACCTCATCATTTTGTATGTATTATTCATCATAATAAAACATTTATTGGACTATTAATGATTCATTATAATAGCAATGATACTGATTAATTCATTCAGGCTCTTCCATTCTAAGTGAATCTTTTTAATAATAAAAATGTGTCAGAATGGGAGTAAGTGTAGTGCTGGCTGCCTCTAAGGCCAGAAAAGCTAGTCTGCTTTAATGAGTTTATTATCACTCAGTAATTTTGGATATTAAACTTCCAGTCCTCCATCAGTCTCCACACACAGATAGACTTTTGCCTATACATTCTTGCCTTGAAGGAAAACAGAATAAATTTCAAAGCAGTTTTCAGTTCCTCCTCTTTGCTCTGATCTTTTCCTGGTGCCTAATGACTGAGCCAACATCTATCCTTTTAGTTTTATAAGCCCTTCCATAAGAAAGGCAAGGCCACTGTTGTTTTAATGTTTGAAGGCTCACAAGCCCTTAGATGAGCTCGGGGGGGTGGTAGGGGGGATGAAGAGTTAAGGGAACTGGAAGATCAATACAAGCCAAGCACAGAAAGAACAAGTATAAGTATTTTTTACTGTAACAGTACTGTCCAACTTCTAAGCAGCTAAGGGTCACATCTAATGTAAGATGTAACTTCATTAGAATATATGATGGGGCAGGGGATGGTATATCCAGACTATCCTTTGAAACATTTTAGCTCTGTCAAAACACTGGCAATCACACAATTTGAGGATAAAAGAAGTGCAAGGGTGGCTATAAATGAAATCAAGGCTTAAATATCTCCCGTTTCACTTTGTGGGTACTGCTGATATCACATAACTAGTTCTCTAGCTGCTTTTAAAATGTTTGAAGGAAAAAAAATTGAGTAGACAAGCATAGATTTCTAATGTAAACAACAGAGAGACACTTTTCAATCCTCTTTTAAGTGTCAGGAAGTAGCAGCAAAGGGGCCAGGCCTTTCCTTTGTGGATGATTTTGCAGATACTTATAGCATTAGAGATGGTAGATTTAATTTTTTTTCAAAATGTTGGCAAAAGTCGTCACCATTTAGCCATTCTTTTTAGCCAACTGTAGTTCTTGTCAATGGCCATTTGGCTCTATTTCTCTGTATTTGAGCTAGAGTGTTATTTTGATGAAAAAAGCTTGCTGATATAGGAAAATAGTTTTATCAGTAAACTTAGAGTTCTTAAGTGAGTCATTCTTCTTAAGATCTAAGTAATGCACACTGTCTAGAAAAGCAAATAAGGTTATTCTTTCTGGGAATATCCTTCAAAAATGTTTCTTTCATCCAAAATATGGAATACATATTCCTTCAGCAGTTGTTCTGCCTGTCCTAAATATACCTCTGAAAATTATATCAGTCTGGAGGCAAGAATGGGTCTTAGATCAGTATTATGATTGAGTTTTCCTAACTTCTCAACTGTTGGCTAGAAGCATTTTCTTTGTGTCAATAGAAGAGCAGACAAATCCTCTATACTTATGGCAAAAAACAGGTTTTTTCTCCTGTTTTTTCTGCTGCCAGAAAGTGAACTATCCAACCTTAAATTCACAACATTATGATTTTATAGAAGATCTACCATAGATCTTATTTTTAGAGGTTTCTGAAATGTAATAGCTATAATTTTTCTTTCTCTTTTGAGCTCCCTGTATTTTAGATTTATGGAACTAGGACTTTCTGGCTTCTCAAATAGTTGGGATATAAAATAATATTCTTGATTAAAGATTAGGAAAAAAAAAACAACCCCCTGTCTGTGGAATAATTTAAACAAATATTTTTTTGTTCTAGGTATATATATTTTCTTCTCTCCCTTAGAGCTCTGTGCATTTTGGACTCCTAGAACTAAGACATTCTGGGTTTATCTACACAAGATGCTAACTGCGCAGTAGTTTAATAACACTGTGCAGTAGCACACAGGGCAAAACCCATGCTAATATGCTACTGCGCAGTAGTATTAGGCTATTGCGCAGTTAGCTGAAAAGCCCATGCACTGGCACTACTGTGCGGTAGCGCCAGTTAGTGCTCATTGATTTAGTGCTTGGTTATCCAAGTTCTAAACTAAATGCTCAGTAACTACGGTGCATTAATGAACGTGTAGACATGCCCACTGGCTGCATAATGGTGGATATTGATTAAGATGTTAAAACTTTTAGGACATATGTGTAGCATAATGGGGTATTGTAAAGACTTTACTTGTACTCATTTGGGATGATATTTGTAACCCCACTATGAAGTAATGCATTTATCCTCAAATGTTTACTTATTAATGTTGTGTGATGGGTAAGTGAGTTTTTAACTTTTTCCTTGATCTGTTTGATAGCGTGGGAAGTAGACTTTGGGGACATTGAGTCTGAGCTGTTCTATTACTTGAGGGTTTTGCCAGTAATTTGATGGAAAGCTGGGTCAGGTGCAGAACTATAGTTGGTTTATAGGCTTCCACTTTATTCACTTTTTAAATAGCAGAATTATGACTTGAAGAAGGTGGAAAGTTTTTTGTTTTTGGTTCCTTCACGTATCCCAGCTCTTTCCTATTTTTTTCTGTAATAGACTTTTGAAAATCTTAATTTCTTCAGGAACCCAACAAACAATATTCCATGTGAAATATTTTTTCTCCTTCAATTGTGAATAAGGTAAACTATTTGGCCCCTATGTATTGAGTTAGAGGCCAACTAAAGTGTTTTATTTTTTGACTTACACCAGTGAATTAACTAATGGAATCCAACTTTTAATTTTCTTCCTTATGTCTAGACTTTTCTGTACCTGTCTTCCATTTTTGCATCTTATGTGTAGTACTGTGTGAATTCTCAGTATCCAAGGTGGTAAAGAAATGTTTTGGCTCCCACTGACAGAAATTGTTTATGCTATAAAGTTTTTTTGATTGATAGGTGCAAGGTATGAGTAAGCTAAACAACTGAATTTGGACTCTTTGTATATGTATCTCTCTGTATGTGCATGTGTGTATGAATACATTGTATGTCATCAAATGTATATGTGTACCTAGGTAGACAAGGTTCTTTGGGTAAATCTGATATCTTTTCTTAAACCAACTGAAATGGACCTAGACATGTACCTATACATATATGTGGGTAGTCAAGGGGTGCTACTATTAAGTTAAAGGCAAATTAAAGTGTTTTATTTTTTGTTGTGTACGGGTTAATTAGTGGAATCCAAGTGCTATCTAGTTATTCTGGGGATTTCACCAACAGTATTAACACCAGGAACAATGCTGTCCTTTGTGCTTCATAAATTATTGTAATTATCTCTGTGACATGTTGCCAAAGTAAATATTCATATTTAATGGCTAGGAGAGCATTTAATCTTATATAAACATCTAGAAGACTCATTTAGTGTAATATTTCATTTAGCAATTTAAAGAGAATTCTTAATAAATTCACATGTGCTTTCATGTTGTGTATTAGTTGCATTACTTTACTTAGTTTATTTAGATATATAGTTGGAGCTGCAGCATACATGAAGGTGTTATATATTTACTGAGTCACTCTGGTCCTCCTGAATGCACATTTCCCATTTTGATACAAGCAAATATCATGTGTTGCAATTGAAATGCAAGTGCTTTAGTAATGAAAACACATACTATTTTCTTATTCTCCATAAGTACTGGGCTCAGTTCAGCCTTGCTATAAGTGGGTGGAAACACTCTGGAAGGCAGATGTAGGCATATTTGTATA